ATGACTCATTATTTTGAACATATGAAATTATTTGGCCATTTAAATAATACAATTTGAAGAAATATTGTTATTTATCAAAACAATGATGTTCCCTTTTAAGTCTTTCATTATGTTTTTTTTTTTTTACTCAATAAGTCCTTTACAAACATTTCAGCTCAACATAGAGGTGCATGGCTCTAATCACAGAACACAGGAGTGTGGGTGGGTCCAATCTCAGTGAGTTTGATGCCAGCTTGTTCCACATAATGCATACCTGGCATCAATGGCTATGTGGACATATCCTATCTCAAAAACATCACAAAAGACAAAGACTCCCAAATTATGGAAGTTTTCCTAATAAAATCTGCCTGGAGTCAGACTGATTTCAACCAACATTTTAAATATTCCCTCACATAAAGAGAAGTCTCTTAACAATGAAAATAAGAAGCAATATACAAATTCCATTCACATTCCTTCCATTGAATCTTTGACAACCATCTATAGTGGACTTTATCCTTCAAGTGATAAGAGACAGAAGGAACAATGTGACTCCTCTACCTTAAGAATTATAATGACACATGTGGGACCTGGAGAGTTGTCTCAGGAGTACTGCTCCTCTTGGGTACCCAGGTTTGACTCATAGCACCATATCTGATTGGATAGAACTCCCTGTAATTGGAGGTCCTGGAGATCGGGTGCATTCTTCTGGCCTCTTAGGGTACAAAATGGGCAAATACTGAAAAGACAGATGTGTATTTGATTCTATATTTTAAATAGGTTTTCTTTATGTGCCTGTTACCTTAAAAAGGAATGAAATTCAACTTAGATGTAGGAGTTTGACCAGTGAGTGTAGCAAGTGTATCTCAGGTACTAGTGATGACCAGAAGACAGTGTCTACTCTCCTGTGACTGGAGGAACAGACAGTTGTGAGCTGTCTTATGGGTGCTGGGTATCAAAGATTCTCTGGATGAGTCACCAATGTTCTAAGAGCTGAGCCTTCTTTTCAGCCTCATGAACATGTCATTTATAACAGTAAGGTATAAAAGGCTGATCGAAGTTCATCTTAACTCATCCTTTGCCCAAAAGAAATAAAGGACTGATAGTATTGGAAACTAATTTAGTCTTTGTTCTTTTTTTTGGTTTTTTTTTGAGACAGGGTTTCCCTGTGGTGTTGGAGCCTGTCCTGGAACTAGCTCTTGTAGACCAGGCTGGTCTCGAACTCACCTCTGCCTCCCGAGTGCTGGGATGAAAGGCGTGCGCCACCATCGCCTGGCAGTCTTTCTTCTTAAAGAATTTCTGAGCCCAAATATTCCTCAACTGAGGGAAAAGTACAAAACAAAACAAATAATCAGGAAACAAGCTGAAAATGTAAGTCTTTAAAAGATAGTTGGCGGCCGGACGATGGTGGTGCATGCCTTTAATCCCAGCACTCGGGAGGCAGAGGCAGGCGGATCTCTGTGAGTTCGAGACCAGCTTGGTCTACAGAGCTAGTTCCAGGACAGGCTTCAAAGCCAAAGAGAAACACTGTCTCGAAAAACAAACAAACAAACAAACAAATAAATAAATAAATATAAATAAAAGATAGTTGGCTATTTAACCAAAGCAATTGGCCACAATTGGAACATAAATACTTACTATTCAGGTGTACCCATGCTTAAGTTCATTCTACGAGGTTGTAGATCATTCTTGGCTGGCCAGAAAGAGCAATCATGTTGTTATCATTTATTGGTGGCACCAATTAATGACAGTAAACACATCACTTTTATATTCAAAGTTTAAAATTTTCTCTTATCCTGACTTTTGTTTATAGACCATAATCAATCATCATGCATTTAAATAACTCAAAATTCTGAACTATCAAGAAATTGGACACAGAATTAAAAATGGGGAAAATACCATTCTGCAGTAGAAGTCAGCAATCATATCTTTGAACACAGAACTGTATGGTAAATTTCTGTATGATATAGTGCACAGTAGCAAAGAAGATCAGTGCAGTGACTAAGAAAGGACATTTCTGTGAAGGTGTTGAAGGTAATTCCCAATAATGCTATCTAGAAACTATTCAAGATGCAGTCATGTTGAATAAAAGACTAAAGGTGGGCTTCAGCCACAAACACATGACCTTAACTCCTGAGCATGTCTGTCCTGGAGAATCAAGTCAGGGATCCACACATTCTTTGATTTGCAGAAATACAGGGGTGTGGCCAGCAGGTTCATAACCTAGGCTCTCAGGTCAGAAAGAGAAAGAAGACACCATATGAGTAAACTTGATGTCTCTTTAAAGAACTGCCTATTTTCTGCAAATGCTGATTTAGAAAGCCATCTGTAATAGGAGGCGAGCCTCTGATCACAGATCTCCAGCATAGCCCACCAAATAAAGGCAGTTACCGAGAAGCTGCATTTGTCTATGTAGTTTTGTGTTTAGATTCCTTTTCCAAGGTATTTCAGATTTTATCTGAAATTTTTGGCCACACATTGGAATGCCATTTTTATTTTTTTTACTTTAAAAATTATACCTTTAATTATAGAATATTGTTAGGATAATACAGCCATAGACAAGACACTAGGATAACTGACCAATACCAACGGGATCCGCTCTCCACAACCACAGAACACAGGCACAGAGTGTCTGGATATGTGCAGGAGCAGCCAGGGGCCTGCAAACAGCAGGCATGCAAACAGCATTGGTGAAGTGTGACAGAGGCATGACTTCCACAGAGCTCAGCACTGGGAGTGGGCAGCGGATGACTGCAGGAGGGAGGGCACTCAGCTGGTGCAGACAGGTATGGGGAGATGGGAAGGCAATCAGAGACCCTCCCTGAGCCTTTCATCTACAAGGCAAAAGCAGCAAATGGCACACTAGCAAAACCTTTAGGCTGGAGGTGGTGTTGCAGGGCTGGGGGGATGGGGACCGGGTAGAGAAAGGGGTAAAATGAAGTTGGATCAGAGGTGCTGTCTTCTAAAAGCTACTCCCAAGCAGACACTTACAATGACTCAACCAAGTCATTGGCTACATACAGATGCCATATCTGAGTTTAGTTACCAAGAATACATAAGTCACCTAACGGTTAAAATGTGAATACCCACAGCAGGCTAGATGTCGTACAGAATAGAAACCACGTGCCTGCCCCAAGTTCATGCTCAAATGGGAGGGGCCAATCGGAGTGCTTTTCATTTGGTTGCTTTTGAGGCTGTCACTAGTGAATGACACGGTAGGTGTCACCCAGCTTCACTCACAATGACTCTGTAGTGAAAGCACTAAATGCCAAATCCCAAAGAACTTCAACAAAAAATTTTTTTGTTTTTTCCAAGACAAGGACTCTCTGTGTAGCCCTGGCTGTCCTGGAACTCTATCCTGTAAACCAGGCTGGCCTTGAACTCACAGAGATCTGCCAGCCTCTGCCTTCCAAGTGCTGGGATTAAAGGCATGTGCCACCCCCAATCCCCACCCCTGCAAAAAAAAAGGTTTCTTGAAAAAAAAAAAAACATGTTAACATTTGCAAGTCTGCACTAAGCACCATAAAATGCACTGGGCCCCATCCCCTTCCATCCCCAGGGGACGGAGTAAGCACCAATATCCGGGCTACTCATAATTCCTGCCTGGGCTGAGATAAAGAGAACTGAGGTACTGGGCGACACTGGGCAACTCTCACTGTAACTCTTTGTACCTGGAGGCGGGAAACACACTCCTCTTTAGGCTTATTCATTTCTTCTGATGAGGCCAAAGAGGTTTCATCACAGGAGAAGATAACTCAGTCTGAGAAAGGGCAAAGGACCTAACTGTCCAGTCATTGTCTCACAACTGATGGACACATACGAGCAAGAGTTTAGTTCTGTACAAAACCAAGCCTTACAGGAGAGTGCACGCCTGCGCACCAGTGTTCAAATTCTTTCCCATAACACAAGAAAAGTAAAGGAATTCTCTCACATGGAGTATGCCTACAGTTCTATCTTATGGTCTACATCACGTAAGAACATGCTGATTCTTAGGAATTCGGTCTCTGCTATTAGAATACACACTTCACTATACATACACATTCCTTTAAGCGAGCTATGATAAAGACTGGGGCGTGGCCCTATCAAACCCTAGAGTTAGCAGTACAAGGGCGAGTGACCTAACTGTTAAAGGTAGATGGCAAAGGACACAGAAAGGACTGTCGCTCCCTGGGAAGGGCTCGGTGCTCCCTTCCCTGAAGGAGTCAACCCACTTCTACTCCTTCCATCATCACCTGCGGTCCTGTCCTTTCGTAAAGGCAGTTTCCACACTGCGATCTCTAAAGTGATTTCTGAAGACAATTCATAAACCTGATTAATGACAGCATCAATGGGTATCTCTTGCTAAGGTCACCACCATCCAAGGGCCCTTGGTCCTCAACCTTGTACCCTTCTCCTTTCACACTGTGTCTTCGGGTAGCTTTCAAAAGCGTGCAAGCTATATACAAGTGAGAAACAAGGGAAGTGATTCAGTCACTGCTTTCAGCGTGCAGAATCCTGTGCACAAGAAGGCAAGGTACCAATATGAGCTACTCAAGGAAAAAGCCCTTTGGAAGGGAAGTGCATGAGCCCGGCCACTGCGGTGTGTGAACAGTGGCTACCCAGGACAAGTCCGCATGCCTTCTTCCAGAGCAGCTGCGGCCACCCTAGTCCAGTTCTACATTCCCACTACAGTCTTTTGGGGCCAAAGATACGAGAGGAAAAAACAACTTTTTAAAAACCTACTCCATTTCCAGGACTAAGCATCCACCAGCATCTTGTCCTATGGTCTTCAGCTTTCAAGTTACTAGGAACGGGGGCTGCTTCTGATGAAGCGATTCTTGTAATAAAACCAGTGAAGAAAACTAACTATTTTGGAGAAGGGGAAAACTTCCCCAACGCTGTGGGTCGGAATTTCAAAGGGGTCGTATTCTACCATGTTTGAAAACGTGGCCAACAATAAGGAAAGTCAATCTAAAGGAAGCTCACTGATATCAAATCAAATATAACTACCTCCACGAGTCATTTCTTACTCAGGAATATAGGACTTAGTCGGTATGGACTCTGTTGTGTTTAATAAGAGCTGAGCTCCGGCTGAAACTCTTGTCACACTTGGTACATTCGTAAGGCTTCACTCCCCTGTGAATTCTTTGATGGGTGATGAGGTTGGAGCTTTGTGTAAACCCCTTTCCACACTGCACACACTCGTAGGGCTTTTCTCCCGCGTGAGTCCTCTGGTGCTTAATCAGATCTGACCTCTCCCCGAAGCTTCGCCAGCACTCGTTACACTCATAGGGCTTCTCCCCGGTGTGAATTTTCTGGTGTGTGATCAGATGGGAGCTGTGGCTGAAGCTTTTCCCACAGGCCATGCACTCGTAGGGCTTCTCTCCCCTGTGCCTCTGCTGGTGCTGGACCAAGTGCGAGATGCGGCTGAAGTTCTCCCCGCACTCGTTGCAGTGGTACGGCTTTTCCCCGGTGTGGATTGTCTGGTGCTGAATGAGGTGAGAGCTCCTTCCAAAGCTCTTCCCCCACTCGTTGCCGTCATAGGGTGGCTCGCCCGTGTGTGTTCTCTGATGCTGGATAAGGTGGGAGCTGCGGCTGAAGCCCTTGCCGCATTTGTAACACTTGTAGGGTCTGTGTCCCGTGTGCGCTTTTGGTGTCGATTGAGGTCTGAAATCTGACTGAAGGCCTCCCCACACTGAGAACTGTAGTAAAAAGAGCAGCGGGGCTGCGTTCCCAGCACCCCGGCAGCCTGATTGGTTAGCTTATGCCCCGAAATAATTACACGGACACTGTATTCTTTTAATCACTGCTTGGCCCATTTCTATCTAGCCTCTTCTAGGCTAACTCTCGCACCTGGACTAGCCCATTTCTAATATTCTATGTAGCACAGCTAGGTGCGCTTACCGGGAAGATTCTAGCCTACGTCCATCCTGGGTCTGAGCTTCATCACATCCATCTTCCCGGGAGCTGGGAGCATGGCGTCTCTCTGAGGCGTCTGCTCTTGAGAGGAGAGCTGTGGAGTCTGAGCTCACTTCCTCTTACTCCCTGCGTTCTGTTATGTTTACTCCTCTCACCTATCTTCTAACCAATGAGAGCCAAGCAGTTTCTTTTTATTTAACCAATGACCTTCCTCCATCAGAGAACATATGTGATAGCGGATGCCTGTGTGAACTTCTTTGTGGGCCAGCAGGTCAGTGACCTGCTGGAGAGGGTAGCTGACCCACTCCTCTGCGGTCAGCTCTCCCCACTGTCTTTCGGACCTGTCCCCACTTTCAAAGACTTCTTCGCTTTCCAGGTTCTTCTCAGCATCCCCAATAGGCTCTTCGGACATGGTCACAAACTCCACATCTTCACTAAGCTCTTCTTTCGGGTTGTTTCGTTCTCGTTCCTGATCTGACAGTCCAGTGAGACAACATTTCCTTAATTCTCCTGCATCACGTCCCTGTAAAGGTCTCTTTGTGTAGGATCCAGAGGTCTCCATTCTTCCTGAGTGAAGTACATGGCCATATCTTCAAATGTCACAGGGGCCTGAAATCACACAATGCTTCCTCACTACTTAGCATCTAGGAATTTAGTCCCAGCCTTTCTTCTTGAAATTAGAGACATGGTTAGAAATGTCGAGAAGGCATTGGCATTAAGTCTGATCTGGGACCCAGCCATGAGCAGGGTGGCTGCCATCTCAGGCTCAAACGTTCGTCTCCTGGGACAGAGAGCAGGAAAAGTAGCTAGTAGACAACGCTGAAGGAGAGGAAAAGCAGGGAGCGAGGCGTGGCTAGAGGTCCTGCCCACTCCCCAGGGCTGGAGTTCAGGTCGCCACCAGGTATGCAGGAAGGGCCCAGGACTGGTCACTCTCCTCCTTCTCTGACCCCCGAGCGAGACCCGCTCTCTGCGTCTAGGTTAATACCAAGTACATGCAAGGCTAGAGTAAGGGAGGACAGCCCCTGGCTAGGTGCCCCCCAACTGGGGGTAAGGCGGATGCTATTAGACAGAGGCTTTCAACCCAGCCCTGCAGAACGCCTCTGCTCTTCCCGAATGCCATTTTTAAACAGTCTTGTTGCGGGAGGTCCTCCCACTCCTCCAGCCTATCACCGCTGAGGTACCAGCCCACTGGGGCGTGGTTTCTCTCCCTTTAAAAAAGCGGCCACTTCCCTCTCCTCTCTCTCTTCACTTCCTGCTCCGCCTGTGACTAGACTCCTTTCCTGGTTGCGTAGAGGGCTGTTGCCTGGGACAGTGATCTGTAAGTTTTTTCCCCTTTAAATAAATACCACCCTAATAATCATAACCCCGAATTGGTGTGGCATTGTTTGTGACTTACGCCTTCACAGTCTTTTCTTTCCTACATACCAGTTCAAAGTAACTACATTAAGGCTTTTAATAATTGAAAATTCTTGACCAATATATCAGGCTTATTACTAACTACCTGTCACATTTTTAAGTTAACACATATTCTCCACATAGTAAAACATTTATTAGCATGACACAATCTAGACATGCTCCCTCTGTCTCATGCCTATCTGCTGGCCAGTCATTGCTTTATTTAAGCAAATTGAGTGACAATTCTTCAGAGTATACAACAGAATAATCACCCCACCACAGATGTTCCTTGTACATGAGATTTGCTTTGCAAAATATTCAAAACCTGTCATGAAGCTGATATCATTTTTACATCAGACCTACTCAAAGCTGAGCATGTGTGTTACAAATATAAACCAGCATAAATAACCATAGAAAGACACAGTCAGAGCTAGCAATGAATTGTATGTACTATTGTATGAATTTGTATGTGCTATTGTACAACTGTGTGTGTATGTTTGGGCATTCTGTGTGTATATACTTGTGGAAATATAAGTATGTGATTGTATATATGTGTGTGTATATATTTGGAAGACAGAAGTGAATCTCTGGTTTCAGGCCTTTGATTTGATCAAACTTTTATTTTCTATTTCTTTTCAGATAGGGTCTCTGATTGCTTTGTAACTTTCCAAGTAGACTAGGCTAGCTGACCAACAAGCCCCAGGTACTCATTTGTCTCCATGTCCCTTTCCCATTACTAGTGTTAAAAGTCCTTGTGACTTTTTTCGTTTTCTCTTCAGCATGGATTCTTGGGCTCAAACTGAGTTCCTTCTTCTTACAAGAAAATCTCACCTGTCTTCTCAGGCCTCTCAACTACAGATATTCTGTCAGCATTGTTTAGTTTTGGTTTAGTTTGTCAGATAGTTCCATGTAGCCGTGAGATTGGACTCCAAGTGCTTTATCTCCCTACCTATCTATGTACCTATCAATCTGTCTTTCTAATTTTTTTGAGACAGTATCTCAAAGTGGAGCGCTCAAATTCTCCTACTCTAATTAATCAATAAATTCCAGGAATCTTCTTGTCTGCTTCTTCCCCTGACCTGGAATTACAGGCATAGGCATCCAGAACCTGACATTTTATTTGGGTGCTGGGAACCCAAAATCAGGTATCTAATTCTTGCACTACGGACTTTAACATCCCCCATGCCCCACTGCCCTCTCCTAGAAAGCAGATTATGAAAACAATGTGAACAGATGGATAGATGTTAGATAAACTGATGACACAGAATGGCTAGCAATTGTGAAGTCTAGCTTTAGTGCTTAGGAGTTCATTGCCATGGTTAGAGTTTGAAATTGAATTGAGCCCATAGTTCACATGCTTATTGACTTGTTTTTCCCAGATGGTGGTACCATTTGGGGTTAGTGTGATCTTTAGAGTATAGTTGGAGGAAGTAGGTCACTGGAGATGTGCCGTGCAAGTTATATATTTCCCTGGCCTTTCGTGTATTCCTTCTCTCTGCTTTCTAGTCCCCATGACATAAAGAAACTTCTCGGTAACCTTTCCAGTCATTGTGAATTTCTGCCTAATGGCACAGGACTAAACAACTGTGAACAGTTGTTCCCAGAAGAATGCCACACCTACACTGGGCCTTCTGCAAGAATAATCAATTGATTAGAACTTTTGTGATTCTGGAGAGGTTTGGATGATGTAGGTTTAGAGCATAATTATAGTTTATCTTAGATTATCTTTAGTCCCTTTAATAGTTATTTGTCTTAGTGTTCTATTTTCTGTACTAAGGGAATTTAAAGGACTTCTCAACAAAGTTATTGATTTGCAATATGCAGAAAAAGTAACTTTGGATATTGAAACCACATAATTAATACCAGATGATGTAGAATTGACTCCATTGTTTTTTCAGGTTCAAGATATAATCAGGAATAGGCTTTGTCTATATCTCACACATTAGATCCCATATGGGTCTGTCAGGTCCTCTAGCATAAGGAAATGTAGAAACTGAATAATATTTTTGGAAATGTGATGATGACATCAGAATTCATAAAAATATCATGTCAATAGCAGGATTGAAAAAGTTCTTTTCTATTATGTGGGAACAAGCTGTATAAACAACCACAACTGTGTTTGAGCACTAACAGAAGTCATGATTTTGTCTTTTTCTACTTCCCATGTATACTAGATTCATGTATGCCTCTTTTAATGTCCTCATGTTGTCTAGGTTCTCTGGAATTGTGAATTTTAGGCTGGTGTTTCTTCACTTTATGTCTACATGTTACTTATGAATTAATACATACAATTTTTCTTTCAGGGTCTGGGTTGCCTCAATCAATATAGTGTTTTCTAGATCCATCCATTTGCCTGCAAATTTCAAGATGTCATTATTTTACTGTGTAGTACTCAGTTATGTAAATGTAGCCCACTTTCCTTGTTCATTCTTGGGTCAAGGGACATATAAGTATTTTTCACTACCTGCTGCCTGGTGATTTGGAGGTAGCGCTCTCAGCTCTTTCTTTAGTACCAAGTCTGCGTGCACACCACCATGCTTCCTATTAAAGTGAGAACCCACAAAAGTGTATTTAACAATTTATTCAGGGTTCAAAGGAAAAATAAACTCAGAAATAGAGAACTAGGTAGATGCCACTGTTCTAGATGCTCCTGTCATGTAATTCTCCCAAGAGCTATGATGACCAACAGCCAGGATTGCACCAGCTCTGACTAACAAAGAGAGAACATAAACTTCTACTCCCTTTTTTTGGTCCCATTTACAGAGAAAAACATACCCATGGTAAGTCATGCCTAATTGTCATGGACTATCTAAAATATATCTCAGCTTGACCATGAAAATATACCTAATATAACTACAAGATGGATTATAATTGAAGACTACTAATTTATATTTCATGATATTCTAATTAGTTGATATAATAACTTTAAAGGCCTACACATTTGCATTGAATTGTTATATAAGGTATATAGGTACAATACTTTGATTGAGATTAAAAACCAATAATTTTCTAACAAAACAACTGTGAATTTGTATCAATTTACAAAAATCCATATCAATATAAACTGAGATTACCCAAGCACCACCCAAATAGACCATCCAAAGGAAATGCCTAGCATTCCAACCATTTTAGATAGGATCATCTGCCAGCACACACTCACCAGGACACCCCTAGGCAAATGTCAGCCAATCAGGGGTCCTGAATTTTAGAATCCCCTCATCCCCACATTTACTACTATAAAAACCAAACTCTAACTCAGCTCAGGGCTCTCCAGTTATTCCAATACACAGGACATGCAGAGAGACCGAGTTTGCAAACTTGCATAAAATAAAGGCTCTTTGCCTTTATGTATAGGATGTGATCTCCTTGTTGGCTTTTTGGAGACTTTGCAGATTTGGGTATAACATATTTATGTATTTCAGCATACATATTTACCCACACTTAACAAGGGTGAAGTTGGAAGGGAATTGTGGCAGGGATGGAATAAAGAAATAAAAAAGTGATGTATTTTCTTTTGATTAACAATTTTTAAAGATTAATTTTAAATTAAAAAGAGGGCCTAGATAGATGGCTCATCACTGGGTGTTTTCACAGAAGACCCTGATTCCATTCCTAGCACCTGCATGCTAGCTCACCATTTGTTCTGATTCAAGTCCCAGGTATCTCATCCCTTCTTCTGCCCTCTGTAGGTACTGTGCATAGGCACATGCAAGCAAAACACTATATAACTAAAGATTTTTTTTTTTTTTTGGTTTTTCGAGACAGGGTTTCTCTGTGGTTTTGGAGCCTGTCCTGGATCTAGCTATTGTAGACCAGGCTGGTCTCGAACTCACAGAGATCCGCCTGCCTCTGCCTCCCGAGTGCTGGGATTAAAGGCGTGCGCCACCACCGCCCGGCTTAACTAAAGATTTTTTAAGGTTAGAAAAAAGAAAAAATGAAATTCTCTACAGTGATGTCCTGACCTCGAGACAGACAGCAAGCCAGGTCTAGTTAAAATGGACTCCTTCTTACCTTGCATGGAAGCAGCTGTGGCCTTCTGTCTTGCCACCCTGCTCAGAGCAAAACCAGCTTTGCTCTGAGAGTAACAGAGATCATCATAACCGTTCATCCAGGAGCACTGTATAGAGGGCTTTAGGTGACTTTTCCTTGAAGTTTTCTGGTTTAGTG